CATAGAAGCAAACATCCTTTATTTTACTCTCGTCGTACTTCATACAATGCCTTCAAATTAATTATTTTGGGCTATTCATACGATTCCTCTATAAATAAAGTTTCGGGAACACATTGACGTAGTTAGCGACCTGCCATTAACGAAACCAAGATCACCATGAAGGCACTAGTCATAATTGCGTTTTTCATCTGCTCAGCCACTAGTAAATATGACTGCATCCGAAATTTTGACGAAAGAATATCATATCTGTCATTCATCCTATTGTTCAATCATTATTTATATATAAGACTTCTGTAATAATTCTTCCCAACATTATCTGAAATTCGTGGTCACGTTATTGCACACGTTAGACCAAGACAAAGAAATTATTTTTATTCCACGAGATGATTGTTTATTGCTCGATTTCATCGACAACGATCTCCAGGTAACTACGCAGATAAGCGATGATTTGATAAAAATTTACAAGGAAATGTTCACGGTTGACGTCGATGGCAATGTCACGGGACTAGCTTAGACACGCTAGTGAAAATAGTTCACGAAGGCTTTTACGCGAGATACTCTTCGTATAGAAAAGAGAACGTGTATAGGTTTAGAGTTAGACTGACTTTATTCTGGTTTTGGGTTGGGATATATATATGTTCTTATTATCTTGTCCTGGATGGTTTGGAAGGGGATGGTTTTTGGAATTTGGAGTTAGGGGTTTCGGTCGTCTGGTGATTCATGTAGGCTGATGTCACAGGGTTGCGTTTTGGATTTTAGAAGTCTAGTCATATCGATGATTCAGGTCGGCTGTCGTCACAGCAACCTAGTTCTAGCAGACATTGACGAACTAGCCCTTGAGTCTATATGGCAAACCGAGGAAGATATGCCCAATCGTGTCTTCTTTCATCTGTACACGAGAAATAATACGAAGCATTCTCAGATGTTATACATAGATGACATGGAGATACTGAAAAGTAGCAATTTCGATATGCAAAAGGAAACGAAGATCGTTACTCACGGCTGGATGAATAATTACGAGGGCCCAGCATGCGAGCTCGTACGCGATGGCATGCATTGATTTCTCCGAAAATTCGAATTTGACTGCTTAACACGTTAACTACTACAGCGGTTATTGGTTCTTAATGACACAAAGAAATTAAGAAAATTTTAAGCGACGGGAATTTAAAACACGAACGAATCCACCGAGTCTTCCTCCGTTTTTAGGAGCTAGGCGACACCCTGATTGGTTAACGTCGAGTTCGGCTCGCCTCTAACCTAACATAACCTAACCTAACCTAACCTAACCTAACCTAACCTAACCTAACCTAACCTAATCAAGTGTTTTCTGAGTTACTATTGCGCCCCCTATTCCTTGCACCCTTGGCGCGTATTTTTAGGGAATGCAGGAGCGATCGCGGAAATTTGGTGACGTAGGGGGACTTCTTCGAGGGCCCGCGGTCCGCGACGCGACGAAGGTCTCCTGCGGTCCCTTGGTCCCTTCGAAGAATCCCCCGAGGCATTATGATACCCATGTAGGCTGTTGAAGCCCAGACTGACTGAGACAACGACGACTTGAAATTGACTGACTTAAAATAATGGCTGATTTTAGAGTAGACTGTAAAAATCGTAATACAAAAATAAGTCTTTTGCATAAACGTAAAAGAAAAATGAAAACTGTTTTTATAATCACGCAAAGTGTGTATACAATTTTTAGGACACCCTGTATATACAAAGTATTAACCCTTTGCACTCGACGACTTTTTCGTTACAGGAAAATAGTAATTCGAAGACTTTCTGTCATAGAGTCGTCGATATATTTAAAATAGTAAATGAGAAATCATATGCAAATTAAGACGTAGAATTATTTTTCTACGACATTCCACGCGTCATTGGGTAATTTTAAATTTGATATATTAATTAACGTCGATCTTTAGAATCTGATTAAATGGTGATCGAGAGTCACCTCTCGAGTGCAAAGGGTTAATGAACAGGTAGGGCTATTGAGCAGGTGCGAAAATGAATAATATAATTTCCGAAGCACCATTCGCTATAGATTCCTAGTCATGATGTATCCTGTTCCTTACTCGACGTACAAAAATTAGCGTGCAATAGATCATAGGTGGGATTAAGAGGATAAATAATTTTGTTCACTGTCGGTTGTTAGGGAATTTTTGGATGTTAGTTGTGCATTTAATTTGTGTTATTGACATGTTACGTAGGTATCTATGGAAATACAAGCACAAGTTATTTCGGTACATTAAGATATGCAGATTCTCTTTAATGACACCCTCAGCTTTAATGATTGGCTTCCTGGAGTCGCAAGGGTTGGACGAGAATAAGCTGGCCATCGTTGGCCACTCTCTTGGCGCTCATGTAGCCGGACCGACATCATACTACGCGACTCGAAAAGCGAATTACGTAGTCGGTGAGTGCACGTTGCATGACAGATGCAACATTACTGTTCCATCATCGTCGATCATAGTCTAATAACGATTTAACCCTTTACGAACGGGCTGCGGTTGCACGAAAATTTGCTCTTAGAGCACGAGCCTTGTCTAGGAGGTATGACAACGAAACAGGATAAGTTTCCAATGAAAATTATCCTGTTACTCTTCTTCCAAGTATATTGCTATGTTTCCAATCTGTTTAAAACCTGGGGTAGCAAACTTCTTCCGTAGAGGGTTATGTGTGCCATACATTCGAGATAATGATCCCGCTAGGTTGTAATGGTTTGCTCTGCATCGGTTAATGGTTACAAGTTCACGCGAAAGACCTTTACACGAGTACCATGACTGTGATTTGTCAATATAATAGTTTTGAAAATAATATTGTCCTCTGGTAAGACCATGCTGTTTATTAACCCTTTCGGTACGGAGGAGCTAGCCGTGGTTATACATTCGTGGTACGAGGAAGGTTTCCACAAGAGTGGTTGCACTGGAAGCCACGAAAACGCGTTTTGCGGTATTCACAGATATCTCGAGCGTGATTGACGCTAAACTTCTCATTCGGATCGCGACAGTCATCGGTGACGTTTCGTAGATGCCGCCAATAGGCGACGGTAGTACCGAAAGGGTTAATTAGTCGTCAGAGTCGTCGTCAGGTCAGTGCGCGAAGAGATGGAATTATTTCGTAGGGAAAACGATCCTGTAACGACCGTCATTCTGACCCTCGCCACTAGATAGATTCCGACTTCGAGGACTTTCCCGCAAGTCCTCGGAAAAGCTCCAGTTCCTAGATATATAACTTCCCGACCTTCCAAGTAGTATCCCAGTGTCTAAGACAGGGCCTGCTAGGGCAGCTAAACGTATGCTAAATTGAAATTGGATTTGCCTGCTAGGGTAGCCTTACCGATGAGTCCGCTAGCAGGCCCAGGACAAAACGCATCCCTTTCTTTCCCTGTCGTCCTTCTACCTGCTACCCCATCAATAGCAACCACGACCACGGGGATACCAACGGACCAGCACCATAGGACACCAACTTATCATAAGAATCGCAACAGTCTAGACCGAAGCCAACGGAGCTCTTGTCACGGGACTAACTTGCAGCGATGAAGAATAAACTAGGCCTATATACGAGATGCTATCCGTAGAATAGGTATAACGTAAGAGAAGTGAACATACATAGAGTTAGAGCAAAACTAACTTTATTCGGTTTTTGGGGTCGGGATATATATATATATATATATACATTCCTGTTATCTTATCCTAGGCGGTTCGAAAGGGGTTGTATTTCAGAGTTCGGAACTTTAGTCATCGGTCATAGTCATCGTATTGGCTGCCGTCAAAGGGTTGCATCTTGGACCTTGGAGTTCTATGGTGATTCACGTGGGCTGTCGTCACACACTCGACATAAAACTTCTAATACCCCGTGGGGGTGATCTCCACTCTTGTGTTTGCTTATCAAAAGTAACCCTACATACACGACTTTGTCGAATGTCAGACATCGAGGAATTTTTACATAGCTGCTCGATTCATGTATTACGCAAATTGGTGTTACATATTATGTAAGCATCTAGGGAAATAGAAATAGAAATTATTGAAACGTATTAAGATATGCACTCGTTCTTTAATTACTTATAATCTTTTATTACCTGCAGCTTTTAACCAAGTGCCTCTAAGAATATACTGAAGTGAAAAGTACCTTTCTTTGTAATATTATCTAACATATTATAATTTTTCCGATAAGACAATTTAATACATAATATTACTTGCAATATTCTCTACCGACGTCTCCTTGAAACTGAAATTCATGTTATCTGGAAACAGATATCGTGGATACTAAAGTGGATACAATGTGTGACTGACAGTCAACGTATCTAAATGAATGAAACGAATTATACCGTTGTTAGTAGATAAAGAAAATAATCATCCAAAATTGTACAGGTAATCGATAGAAATAAAAAAAAATAATTTTCTATACGATAGCAAAGCATGCGGGATTTGAAAAATTCGATGCTTACATTCCAAACATTATCTGAAGTACCATAATTCAGGAATTCCACGATAAAGTGTCCGGCTTGATTAGCTTCTTATTAAGCATTGTTAAAAATCGTTGATAAATCGTCTGATATCTCAGATATCGACAACAGGTTCGCCATATCAATTATAGCAACTCGTTCTTCTACATATATAAACAGGGTGTTACCGATGGGTGAGGCTATCTAACGTGTATAGCTTTCACGTGAAAAAATAAATGAAAAAAAGAAACAGAATTTTGTTCAAAACTTTGGCTACGAGAAAATTGATATTACGTGTCATGACATTAAGTAAACTGTTAAAAGTAGCGACCTTGCTGATGTGTACAAATGAATAATTTTCTTATCAGCGATATATTATTTCTAACCTCTACATTATCGAAAGCATTTACTATTCCTTTAATTAAAAACTTTCTCACTAGTCATAGGGCACGCTATTTATTTCACATGATTATTTACGTAAAAATGTAGTAGACATAAGGCTATAAAATCGTTTACTTAGAAGTAATTATGTCATTTCATGAAGAGCGAAGTGGTGTTCCACCTCGTTGAAATATCGAGCAGTCGAAATATTCAAAAGACTTTTTATTCGCTTCTTGTCGAAATTCATCGAACGATATCACACGTGTTAATGCAATAAATATTTCGAGAATATTCGAACGATTCGTTTGTGAACAAAATTCAAGTTGCATATCGATAAACTCAGACAAGATCACCATGAAGATATTCGTCTTAATCGTTTGTTCGATCATCTGCTCGGTTACCGGTAAGTACGACTGTACCAGGAATTGTTTTCAAAGACCATCAGCTATTACATCTTATTTCGGTCAACCATCGCCGTTCTTTCGATTTTCATTCACGTTTCTCGTACCATTTCTCACGAACATAATTGTAGCATTTCTAGATAGATTAATCCGATCCACACCGAGATCTGCGCGTCTAATAAACAACAACTCCCTTTTAATAATAAAACAGGTTAATTTAAATAACATATTACGCTAAGTTCCGTTCAATTCTAACTTTCAAACACACGATCCTCTATTCACTACGTCTCGACTACACACAATCTGCTTTGTCCATGCCCTTGCACCCTTACCTAACACTAGGTTTACGGACGCTATTTGTATACCTATTTCTACGGACACCTGTCAAATTTACAGGTAAAGGAAACCACGCGTCTTCTCTCTTTCTAACGATTAGTTTAATTTAAAAACAATTACAATATTAACAGTCCTAACACTTAGCCGACCGCACGCCCCAGAGCGAACTATACGGTTTCCACCGCGCTCGGGGAACCCGAATAAGGGACCATAAAAATTGGTGAATTTTATTATACGTTGTGCTTTATAGGAGCAGTTCGATAATTGCGAACAACTCCAAATGGAGGTACTGTAAGTAATAACCGAAAACGAGAAACGCGTTGCTAAGGTCAAAATGGGAGATCTCCCCGATCGGTTGGGCACCGGCTTACTTCAAAATGGGGAGATCTCCCCGATCTAAGACGGCTAAGTGTTAATATAAGTTACCTAAATCTGTTACCGTCGTATAACTGGAGCAACCCATCCGTCAAATCCACGGGTTTCGTAAATCTAGTGCTAAAGTCATACTCCCTCTTTCCATACACAGACTCTCTCTTTCAATCACTCGACTCAGTCATAAATATCTCATTCCTTCATACGCGCTCCAGGTATCTTCCTAAACGTCTAAGTCCAAGCCGATGTCGCTGTTTATTATTCGCCAGACAGAGTCCTTCGCTGCTCGCCACCCCACATAATCTATGACAGAAAGTTCATGGTCATGTCATTGTGCACGATAGACCTACGATCAGAGATTATTCTTATTCTAAGTGACGATCGTTCTTTGCAGCTCAAGATCCGTTTAGGCCCATCAGCAGCGGCATCCTAAAAATTGAGAGCATCGTCGACGACGCCATAGAAACGGCGAAGGACTTGTACATGATTGATGATCATGGTAACCAAGTTCCATTAGACATAAATGAACTACTCCCTGAGACCTTGTGGCAAACAGAGAGAAAACTGCCTGATCGTATGCATTTCTATCTGTACACGAAGGAAAATCCGACGGACGGACAGCAGTTATACATAGATGACGTGAAGACACTGAACAATAGTAACTTCGATCCCCAAAAGGAAACGAAGATCATTACTCACGGATGGATGAATAATTACCTGAGCGATTCGTGCGTGACAATCCGAGACGGTACGTATTTATTTTCTGGAAAATTCGAATTTGACGTCTCAACACGTTAACTATTACAGCGGCTATTGGTTCTTGATGATACAAGGAAGTTAAGAAAATTATAAACGACTGGAATTTACAATCACTAAAACACGAACGAATCGATTATTGTAAAAGATAAAATTGAAGAAGAACTTAAGTTATTTCGAGAAGATCGTCGCGTTAAATCTTAAAGACACATTCGCTAAGAGACTATTTATGACCACCATAAAATGGCCTTCTCGAAACAATTTATATTCTATCCGAAATATTTTTCGAAACGATCTATAGCTTGACGGAAAATCGTATTCGGGTATAAAAACAGAGGAATTCGAAAAGAACTTACGTTATTTTGAGAAGATCGTCGTATTAAATATCAGTAAAGAGATCGGGTCGAACTAGAGTATCACGAGCGAGAGACGTGGTTAGTACATAAGGCTCAACGTGAACAACACGGGCCAGGCTCGTGGTTGATGATTTTTGTCAATGTCTTTCTGCTCAGTTAGGTGATATTTTTCACTGCATTCGGATGAGATGCCTCGACATGCGACTGACTTCGCTGTTTACTATACTACGTGTCATAGTAACTTAAATAGCAAGGCAAGGGGTTGAAGATGCACCCAATTAGAGAGTATCTATGACCACCATAAAATGGACTCCTCGAAACAATGTAAATTCCATCTGAAACATTTTTCAGAAAATAGCATTTGAAAATTCAAACGAGACAGACCATTCTAATTCATGATTTACACTAACCACTCGCTGATCTGAATACCGAATCAATCCCAAAAGTCATCGCATGATTCTACGAAAAATCACGTTCTTCGTTTTACTCGTTCCACAGCTTACCTCAAGAACAGCGACTACAACGTCGTAGTGATGGACTGGGGCCAGATAGCGGTGGGACCATACATTTGGGTCAGTGATCGCATTCTAATAATTGGCAAGTTCGCCGCTAAGATGGTTAGCTTCCTGGAGTCGCAAGGGTTGGACGAGAATAAGCTGACCATCGTTGGCCACTCTCTTGGTGCCCATATAGCCGGCTTCGCATCATACTACGCAAAGCGAAAAGCGAACTACGTAGTCAGTGAGTGCACGTTGTGTGACAGATGCAACGTTACTTTTCCATCATCCTAATAAAATAAGGCTTTAACCTTGTGCAAAAATATTTGATAACGAAACAGGATAAAATTCCTATGAAAATTATCCCGACATTAGTATTCCAAGTACACTGCTATATTTCCAGTCGATTTATACATAATCACGTGGAAAACTTATTTCGTAAAGGGTTAGGTGCAGTTTACTTTTTGACTGTTAGAGCCAAGATACTGAAGTTAGATGAATTGAAAAATGTATTTGAGAAATTCACGTATTATGAAGATCACACCTTAGATTGGTCCAGAAGGTAATGGAAATTGTTATCATATTATGCACCTATGTGGTTGATTTCAATTTCCACGAATTATGAAATTTCAGTATCGATTTACAAGAGATGTGTATGTAAATGCTGTGAAAGCAGTGTTTCTTACAATTTGACGACCTTACGAGAATGAAACTTATTGCAGAGTTGGACGCAGCGCAGCCTAACTTACATAAGGTTAGATTCGCCCCTAACCAAGCAATGTACACAACATCCATCCATACGGATAGCTTTTTCTGGGGACAAGACATTGCCATAGCCGATTCTGATTTCTGGCCGAACAGTGGCTTGCGACAACCTGGTTGTGGTTTGAACAATGCATGTTCCCATTCCAGATCTTACATTTACTTCGCAGAGTCGATCAACAGTGAAGTAGGTTTCGTAGGAGTACAGTGTACCAATTACCCTGACTACGTGCTAAACAAATGTGCCAATAACCCGACTGGAATCATGGGAGGTGCTAAACTGAATACTACACTCAGAGGCAACTATTATCTGAAGACGAATCTGAAAGCACCATTCGCTAGAGGATCTAAATCATAATAGATCCTGTTCTTTAGTCGACGAACAAAAGAAGGCGTCGAAAAAATCGCTGGAGATGACAGAAATAAATAACTTCTCCAAAAGTCAGGAATCAGGGAGTTTTCTGGTGTCAGTTGTTGAATTCATTTTTAATGCGAACAGTTGTCAACGCGTTATATAAGTATGTATGAAAATACAAAAATGATGTAAATGTATTTAAAAGTGTAGATATTTTTTAATGACAACCTATATTCTTCACCTTTTCCCTGAATGCCTTTACTAATAGACTGACGTGAAAGACACCTTTCTTCGCGTTGTTAATTAAAATACTATATTTTTCTAATAAAAAATTTTAATGTTCAATTATTGCTTACAATATTCTCTACCAACATCTACTATGTGATTAGAATTTTATTATTTAAAAAGAAATAAATTTGAACGCTGGAATGGACTATACGTTTACTCGATTATCAACGTATCTAAGTAAATAAAATGATTTATACTATTACTCGTAGATAAATAAAATAATTATCTAAAATTGGACAGACAGTCGATGGAAATGAAAATAATATTCTATTATATTTTATAAAAGCGTGTGGCATGAAAGAAATATGTTTACATTCCAAACATGATTGTGACAGTAACATAACAGAGGAACTCATGATAAAGTGTTCATATTAACCCTTTGCACTCAAGTGTACCTTCAGTCACCATTTCATAAAATTTTGAAGATCGATATTAATTAATATATCAAATTTAACGTGATGTAACAATGTGCAAGGTATCGAAATCAAATAATTCTGCAATTCTATTATTATACTATTCAATATTTACTGCTCAAGAAAGTATCGCCACTTTTTTACTAGAGAATCTTTGAATTTCTACTCTTTTCTAGCCAAGAAATCGTCGAGTGCAAAGGGTTAATTAGCTTTATGGTAGCATCATTCACACCCTCGTTACTAGATGGATTTCAGGTTTAAGGAGCTTCCCTCAGGTTTAAGGATTTCCTTGGAAGTCCCCTTCTTTTCTATATGTAGAAATTACAAATTTTTCAATGGTATTCCTGTCTTTAGAAGAACTTGTGAAGTAGCCTTACCGACGAGTCCACTAGCAGCCCGGGTCAAAACGCATCCCTTCCTTTTACTATTTATCTTTTCCTGCACCTAGTGACCCCCACAGTTTCTTATTCTACATGACTGACATGGATAAAATAGCGAAGACTATATAGACTTGGGTGATTGATTTCATTCTAATGATTAGCAAGTACTGTCTTGTCTTCCGAAGACATAGGTCTTTAAACACTGCCAAAATGCGAGCACCCTCGCGATTCACAGTTCGCGGGACCAAGGATGTGCCCTAAGTCCGCGAATTGACGTCCTTCAAAGGGAAAAGGAACTTCTTGCACACCAAGGTCGGTGATGGAACCGTCCTCATTCAGAGTGAGACCCTTAGAGCTTCATGCCGGTGACCCTTTAGGAGGTGTGACCGCGGTTATGTCACCCTAGGTTTATCACAGGGAATGACAGGTCATCCGAATCCGACGCACGTGACGTGGCCCTGACCCCTGCAGCCCCCTGTCAGCCAATTCCTCAGTGCTAAAATCTAATTTCCCTAAATTAGGCTACAGAAGAACTCCTCCTGATGTGACTCAGGCAATAAAGAGGACTGCCAATAATACACAATAACCAAGTAAATATAGAAAGTATGTCAAACTGCTCAGCATTTAGGATCTGGCTGTCAAAGATCGTAACTGAGAACTGCTTCAAGAACTGCTCTATATTTAATACTAAATCCTCGCTAATAAATGGCTGAAACCTAGTTACTCTGTATTAATACAATCCCACAATATTTAATTATTACTAGGAATATCAATTATATACTAGGAATAAATCGATGAGACTGAAACGAATAAATAATTTTGCTTAAGATCGAGGGTCAAATAATTTTTAAATATTAATTGTGTATTATATTTGTAATGCGAATTAGAGTTGCAGATGCATTGTACAAGAATCTATGAAAATATAACAAAAATGAATTGAGCATATCAAGGTGTACAGACATTTCTTCGTGACATCCCATATCCTCCTGCTTACCTCAGAGTGCCTTTAATAATACACTGACATGAATAATATCAAAAATACTATATTTTTCTCGTAGAAGAGTTTCATATCCAGTTGTTGCTTGAAACATTCTCTACCAATGTCTACTTTCAGCTTAGAATTATGTTAATTGAAAACAAATAAAATTAAACGATAAAGTGGACTATATGTTTGATCAATTATCAATATACGTAAGTAAATAAAATGATTTATATTATGATTCATGGGTAAATAAAGTAATCGTCTGAAAGTGGACAAACAATGGGCAGAAATAAAAATAATATTCTATTATATTTTAACAAACCATTCGAAACATTCGCTGTTAGTAGAAACGTAGTATAACACAACATTATAACGCATTGTAGGATGGCGAAAATTGGTTTTGAGACACCAAAAATTGACAAAACGACAAGAACAGAATAACACGAACTCGAAACTCATAAAACTAATTTACCTTAAGAAAAGAAGACCAAGATAACGAAACGAAAACACACAAAGACACACTCTAATTTCATTCTCTTTCCAACACCGAGCGACTCACGCTCGTGCTGGTCACAATTGATTTCTAAGCACTCTGTGTTGGTCGTCAAGGACCATGCTTTTGTGACGACAGCCCACCAATTCAACGAATTAAAGCCATCCATTATAACAAACAAATGTTTGCAACAGAAACTCATCGCCAATTTATCGTGACTATCGATAATTACGCAAGCATCTACTCCTTCTGTCACAAACCAGCTGCTTGCTATTCAACTTGTCATTTCTAATCAACTTAGTAGCAAACATCCTTTATTTCACTCTCATACTTCATACAATGTTTTCTTTTACGTCAAATTCATTATCATTTCGGGCTATTCATACGATTCCTTTAAAAATGAAGTTCCGGCTACATGTCGATGTAGTTAGCGATCTGCCATTAGCGAAATCAAGCTCACCATGAAGTCACTAGCCATAATCGCGTGCTGCATCATCTACTCAGCCGTCGGTAAGTACCTCTGTACCCAAAATTTTGCCAAAGGAATATTTAGTTATTCCTTATTCTGTTCAGCTATCGTAATTCTTTCAATTTTTATTTATGTCTCCTGTAACATTTTTCTTGAACGTTATCTACGAGAGAAAATTCATGGTCTTATTATTGTGCATGTTGCAATAGACCCAGATTAGTTTCATTTCAAGAGATCATGGTATTTTGCAGCTCGAAACGCGTTGAACCCTTCGATCGAAAATGTACTGGAAATAGAAGATGATATCCAAGCATGGGACAGGGATCTTTCCGATGACAATGACAACCTAGTGAAAAGAGACTTATCAAGTATATTACCCGAAAAATTGGAGCAAACGGAGAAAGACCTGCCTAATCGAGTCTTTTTCTACCTGTACACGAGAAACAGTACGAACGAACCACAGAAGTTATTCATTGATGACGTCGAGACACTGAAAAAGAGTCATTTCAATGTCAACAAGGAAACGAAAATCGTTACTCATGGCTGGAGGAACGATTACACGAGCGCATCATGCCAGCTCATTCGTAAAGGTATGTATTTATTTCTCCAAAAAAAAACCGATTTGACTGCGTATCACGTACTATAGTGGTTACTGGATTTTGACGAACCAAAAAATTATAAGCGACGTAAATTCACTGGTAGCACAACATGTAGGAATATTTCATTCCAAGAAAAAGAAAAGAAATAATTCAAAGGAACGCCGCATTAAGTATTAAAGATATACTTTATGGCGGCATCATACTCACACTTTCCAATAGATGGATTCCTACGTAAAGGAGGTTCGAGGACATTTTCGCAAGTACTCGGTAAAAACCCACCGTTTCCTATGCATAGAATTTCCCAACATTCCAATAGTATCCCCGCCTAAGTGTTAGAAGGGGCGAAAGGACAAAGAAGGGATGCGTTTTATTCTGGGCCTGCTAGGTAGCCTTACTAGCAGTCTGCTAGCAGAACTGTCCACTAGACAGGGAAACGCATCGCTTCCTTTTCCCTTCGTCCCTGGGCCTAGCAAGGCCTAGCGTCCTGGGTCTGCTAGTGGGCTGATCAGTAGGGCTGCCTAATAGACCCAGGACGAAACGCGTCCCTTCCTTTTCCTTTGGTCCCTGGGCCTGCTATGTAGCCCTACTGATCAGTTCACTAGCAGGCCCAGGACGAAACGCATCCCTTCCTTCTCCTTTCGTCCCTGGACCTAGCAGGGCCTAGCGTCTTGGACCTGCTAGTGGACAGATCACTAAGGCTATCTAGCATGCCCAGGGACAAAGGAAAAGGAAGGGATGCGTTTCGTCCTTTCTGACACCACCGCCATATTGAGGATACCCCTAGAACCAGCCGACTAACGCAACAACCATGTGGGTGTACTCTCTCCACAACTTAGAGAGTACCTATAACCACCATAAAATCACTTCCTTGAAATAATATGAATTCCACGCGAGAAACATTTGTCAAAGCAATCTGTAGCTTGACAGAAGATCGCATCAGAAAATTCAAACAAAGCACATCATTCGAGTTCATGATGTTAACCAGTCACTCATTGACCTGAATATCTACTCACTCCAAAATGTATCATCGAAAAAGTCTACGAGAATATAATAACGTGCGCCAATTTACTTGTCCTCAGCTTTCCTCCAGAACAGTGACTGCAACGTCATAGTGATCGACTGGGGCAAGATAGCGAAGAAGGAATACTACTGGGCCAGTAATCGCGTTCTAATGGTTGGTAAGTTCGCCGCTAAGATGATTAGTTTCCTGGAGTCGCAAGGAATGGACGAGAATAAGCTGACCATCGTTGGCCACTCTCTTGGTGCCCATGTAGCCGGACTGGCATCTAACTATGCGGCTCGAAAAGCGAATTACGTAGTCGGTGAGTGCACGTTTCATGATAGATGCAATATTACGGTAGCATAATCTGGGCATCTTACTTTAAATCGCAAACTGGCTCTTTAGGAAAAGTAAAATACCAGTTCCTACCTTTAGCTTCACGACATATTGGACAACCTAAGATAACCATTCTATATTTATAGATAATCATTGAGAACGTTCCAAGGGAAAGTATGATATAAAATATGAGCTTTCGATCGCCAGAACTGTCAATGCTATCAAAGCTTCTTAGAATTAGACGGTAAAAATGACTCAAATTGTAGGTTTGGACCCAGCACAGCCCAACTTCAGTGGCAAGTCTTCGGATGCTAGATTCAGTCGTGGTCAGGGAAAATTCGTAGAGGCCATCCACTCGGATGCTGGTGTCTTGGGGATGAATAATGCCTTGGCTGACGCTGATTTCTGGCCAGACGGGGGTCACGTGCAATCTGGTTGCAAAGTCAATGACATCTCGTGTTCGCATGGTAGGTCTTACGAATACTTCGCGGAGTCGATCAACAGTGAGGTAGGCTTCGTAGGGGTACAGTGCTCCAACTACGATAAGTACTTACGGAACGAATGCGCACATAACCCGACTGGCATCATGGGCGGAGCTAAACCGCAACCTGGACTCAAAGGCAACTATTTCTTGAAGATGAACGCTAAGTCACCATACGCTAAGGGGATTTCCCAATGACGATGATTCTTATCTCGATGGGAATGAAACGAGAAAATAATTTCGCTCAAAATCGAAAGTCACGAAATTTTTTGATATTAATTATGCATCATACACGAATTAGACTTGTAAACACGTTGCACAAGTATCTGTGAAAATACAAAAAAATTTGTTTGCACGTATCAAGATGCGTAGACATTTGTAGCGAGTCTCTTTCTCGCAAGTCCTCGGAAAACCTCCAATTCCTATACATGTAGAATTCCTAGCTAGATTATTCCTATACAGACCGAGATCTGAGCATCTAATGAACAACAACTCCCTTTTAACAATAAAACTGGTTTATTTAATTAACATATTACAATAAGTTCCTCCCAATTCTAACTCGCAAGCACACGAACCTTTATTAACTACGTCTCGACTACACACAATCTTCTAACTCGACTCAAATTTGTCCGCTTCCGACTTCTCAATTCTTCTCAATTCTATACTCTATTCTGACTGCCTCGCGCCCTTGCATTCTTACTTAACCGTTTGAGTCCCAAGCAGCGCTTGAAGCTTTGGAAGACCACGGTCGACAAACCCTGAACAGCGCGATAACGCTTGCCTTAATCGAATACGAAGAAGTCCAAACGGCGTGATAGCGCTTGTTTAATTTTATGTCGATAAATCCCAATCGTCGCAATAGCGCTTGTTGGTACTATGTGTGCATGCATCAGCAAAGTTGAGCGCGATCGCGCTGCTTGGGACACAAACGGTTGAAGCCAAATCTATCTCTTTCCATGCTTCCCCTCTCAATCATTCGACAGACATTCCGACAAAAGAATTTGGCGCTATAGTTTGTTCTTTGGGCCCAATGCCGCCGTTCCCTATCCCTCGTTTTTCGAAAAGCCACCCAACGTTTCCATGCACTCCGTACACTCATTCGCCTCGCTATTACTCTTAGTACATTTGTAGTGTCATTCACCACTCGCCATCCTGCATACATATAGTATCCCGGTCTAAGGTAGGGCCTGCTAGAGTAGCCTTGCTGATGAGTCGACTATCAGGCCCGGAACGAATCACATCCCTTCCTTTTCCTACCATCCCTTCCAGCACCACCGCCATGGAGCATACCTGCGACCAGCCGACTTCAACAACCGTGGGGGAGACCCCCCTACGCATTCTTCATTGCAACCCATATTCGCCTACTTTTCTCGAGGTAATAATACATCGGCGTGGGAGCTACTTTCCTTCGCGTTATTAATTAAAATACTATATTTCTCTGGTAAAAGATTTGAATATTCTGTTATTACTTGGAATACTTGGTCGCCTAAAGAGGTTCAGAGACTGGATAGAGAAAGAAATAATATTTGGTCACATTTTAGAATAGGGAATGCAGTTTACATTCCGAATATGATTGTAACAGTAATATAATACTGGAATTCCGTGATATAATGTTAGGATTAATTAGTTTCTTATCCTGTGTCATTAACCGTTTGCACTCGACGAATTTTTGGCTAGTGGAGAGCAGAAATTTTTGTAAACAGAAAATAAGGAATGGTATAATAATTAATACGTAGAATTACTTCAAAATTTTATGAAATGATGACTGAAGGTAGTTTCTCCATGATAACACTTCCTCTCAACGAAATTTCTGGGTGAAGCAAATAAATCACGATAACATATCAAAAAGGAAATAAAATACAATTTTTTAAATTATTATTTTAAATAAATTACGTATTTCATAATGTTGAAAACGTATGACATTATGGAAGATTGACACGCATTGTCTGATTATTGTGAATATTAGGGAACTATGTGCTTTACTTCTCGTTTTTCAATAATTATTATTCCAAAATCATTGTAATAGTTAAATATTATGTCAATACTATTTTAATACTTCTTTCTCCAATGATCTGTGAATAGAAATGAATACCAATATCTTCCACGTTTTTCAACAATTAATAAATTAATATATGTAGGATTGGAATGAGTACGGGCCTGAAAGAATGTCAGGAGTGTTTGGGCTTAGAACGAAAGTGACCATCTGCAAGAGGATTGACTGCAAAGAATATTTATGGTAGAGTCGAGTGGAAGTTTAGGGATGCGTCCAGAGTGGTTGAAGTACCTGGCCCACCGAGGTTGCGTGGGACAGGGGCATGATTGGAAAGGCAAGCCTGGGTGTATGAAAAAGGACAGAATGAAGGGTTTAAATAAGGGTGCAAGGGTGCAGACGAGTCAGTCTTTAAGAGTTTTTTAAGCCAGTCTTTTCGCAGCTTGAAGAGTGTGTCAGTGTGTCAATCAGAGAGTATGTAAGAAGTCCAAGATAGGCTAAGACAGATCAGAAGAGCGTGTCCATAACGAATCTCTCTTGTTTCAAAACCGTCATTCTATTTATAAGCTTATTTTATTCTATTAAGAAGCCAACAATGCTAACTTAAGTCAATCCACCAAAAATCCGATCCTACATATATTTAGATAAAAATATTTAAATATTGACAACAATTCTCAATAAACTATTTTAAACACAAAGATTGACTCCATCTTGAAAATTCTCCTCTCTCTCTCTCTCACTCTTATTAACACATGTTTACTCTATGACGATTCTCACGTGACTGTTTTATTCTGGAACATTCTGCTAAACATTTTTTAACAATATTCATACTAGACACTACTCGCACATATTATATTTATCTCATCCCAAATGACTTTTACTTATTCTGCCACATTCCCATTCACACATCACGTAATTTTCAAATCAAAAAATGTCTCGTTTACTTCAAATACCTTAGCTAAATATTAAAAAGAATAATTTGTTGAATTCCATTGCACCCGCTGCGTTTCCAGATATAAATCACTGTCTCAGGTGTCATGATTCACGCTTATCATGATGCACGTACGACATAGCAAATTTGTCTGCACACATTCGATATCTTAACCAAGTCTCTTCCCAAATATCATCATGAACTGTCTTCCTCAAGCCTCCTAGCTAATAAAAGTCTCGCGTTGAGATAAAGTTCTGTTGTCACGTGAGAGGTGACTTACGATGTGACTAACCCGATATGAGTTAAGCCTTTGCACTCGGCGATTCTTTCGTTACAGAAGAATTCGAAGACTTTCTGCTATAAAATCGATATTTTTAAAACAATAAACTAGAAATATATGAATTTACAAGTAGAATTATTTTACTTCGATATTCCACACCGTGGAAATATACAATACGTTTCGTTAAATTTGAATTCGAAGACTTTCTGCTATAAAGTCGACGATATTTTTCAAACAATAAATTAGAATTATATAAATTTACACGTAGAATTATTTTACTTCGATATTCCACACCGCGGAAATATACGCTGCGTTGCGTTAAATTTGATATATCAATTAACATCGATCTTTGGAATTTGATTAAATGGCGACTGAGGCTCACCTCTCGAGTGCAAAGAGTTAATGCTGTTTTCTTTGCTAGAGTTCTTCCCAGCTCACAATACCACAATATGCCCTCCCCCCAACGCGTTAGAGGACACATTCCACATTGACAAATTCATTGTATTTAATGAATTGTATCAATAAAGTCGCGTCTACTGACAACGCGAACGTATCACCAATTCACAGTGACTACCGACGATTATGCGAATACCTCTATCTGCCATAAATTAGCTACTTGTTATCCAACGTGTCATATGTAATAAATATAATAACCAGCATCTTTTGTTTCTCTTCTGCAACAACACAATGGCATCACTTATGCTAATACAATATACATTTTGAGCTATTCAAACGATTCCTTTATAAACGAAATTTTGGTTATAGTTGCACGCAGTTAGCGATCAACTACCAGTTAGAGCAAATTCAACATGAAGACATTCCTCTTAATTGCTTGCTGGATCATCTGTTCAGCTACCGGTAAGTATGACAGTCCTCGAAATTTTGTTCAAAGAATATCAGCTCTCGTTATGCTACATTTTGTACCACCATTGTTATTCGTTCAATTTTTGGGTTTCCTGTGCCATTTCCTTCGAAGGTTATTTTCTCACGAGAGAAAATTTATGGTGATATTATAGTGCACGTTTATTTCAAGAGATGATCGTTCTTTGCAGCTCGAAATACGTTCAATCCCTTGATCAAGGGTATCGAAAAAGATCTCGAAGCAGTGGATGCTTTGCAAGAATGGAACAATGGCCCCGATGATGGCAACATCGTGAAAAGGGACCTACTCACAATATTCGAGACCTTACAGCAAACGGAGGAAGATCTGCCCAATCGCGTCTTCTTCTATCTGTACACGAGGAATAATAAGGACAACCCTCAGCAATTACACATTGACGACGTTGAGACACTGAACAACAGTTATTTCGATGCCCAAAAGCCGACAAAGTTCGTTACTCATGGCTGGAGAAGCAGCAGCGACGCACCAGCGTGCCAGCTCATACTCAAAGGTATGCATTTATTTCTTCGAAAATTCCAATTTGACAACTGAACACGTTCGTCACTACAGTGATCACTGGTTCACGATGAACCAACGCAATCGTGAAAATTATAAACAATCGGAATTCAGGAAAAATTGAAGAACTTACGTTGTTAGGAGAAGGTCATCGCATTAGATCTTAGATACATCCACTTGGAGAGTACCTATGACCACCATAAAATCCACCACCAAATGCTATATATTCCATCGGAAACGTTAGTCGAAGCGATCCGTGGATCAAAAGAAAATCGCATTTGAAAATTCAAACGAAACGCACTATTCTAGTCCACGATTTTTCAGTGACCGGAAGATCGACTCACTCGTAAAAGTATCATTGAATGATTCTGCGGGATCCTTTGCTAAATTAATCCTATGCAGACAGAGGACTCCTTTTTAATACGGTTTCTCCTGCGACGCCACGGTGATCATTGGTGGCAGGAGCGCTGGAACTACTAAAACTACATTGAACTACATTGAATAAAAATTGACAGTTAGTGTATTTTGAATGTAACCACTAATTAGAAGCGTGGGCAACTTTCACTGCCAAGACCCATTGTCTTCTAGCGGGAAAAAGCCCTTTGTTAAGTGCTCAGCCCGTTTTGCTCGCCATTCCGTTCAGACCCAGACTCGGCCGTCAAGTGGACCACCGAAATTCCCAGACGTTAGGTCCAAAGATGACGAAGAATTTAACACTAAAGGTTAGCACCTTTTGGTCCTAGTCTAGGCCGGACCTGAACGAGAAGTCTAGCGCCGGTGCCTGCGGACCAGCGTGGAACTTAAGGCGTTAAAGTCTGACACTCTTTTCATACACAAGCTCTCTTCGTTGATCACTCATTTCCCACGCAACCTCGCCTTTGGTGGGCCAGGTGTTTCAGACACTCGAATGCATTCCTAGACTTTCGTTCATTGCTTGTACTCGACCCAGTCATAGATATCTCATCCGTACAATCCTTGCACGTGGTCACTCATCCGTCTAGGCATCGTCCTAAACGCCTAAGTCAGTAAGAAACAGATACCGCGGTTTATTGTTCCTTCGCTAGAGTCCTCCACTGCTCGCAATCCCACAATTCTACGAAAAAATCACGTCCATTGTTTTACTTGTTCCTCAGCTTTCCTCGAGAACAGTGACTGTAACGTCATACTGATCGACTGGAGCAAGATAGCGGATAACGAATACATCTGGACCAGTGATCGCGTTCAAATAGTTGGTCAGTACGCCGCTAAGATGGTCAGTTTCCTGGAGTCGCAAGGGTTGGACGCGAATAACCTGACCATCGTTGGCCACTCTCTTGGAGCCCATGTAGCCGGAATGACATCTAACTACGCCACTGAAAAAGCGAATTACATAGTCGGTGAGTGCACGTTTCATGACAGATGCAATACATCTGGGCACCTTACTTCAAATCGCAAATTCTTCAGGAAAAGTACAACACCAGTTCCTCTACCTTTAGTTTCACGACATATTGGACAACCTAAGTCTGTTACCTGTCATAACTATGAATTCATACTCTCATCGCTCAATTTAATAATGTTAGAAAGAAGGCGAGAAATCTCTGATATCCTTCTTGTTTATAAAGTGCTCAATGGTCCTATAAATTGTTCTGATATATTAGAATTCTCGATCAATATTCCAACTTCTCTTTTAAGACGATACATCTTTGTTCATATACAACAACGTAAAACCGCTTTTGCATACTACTCAGATATTAATAGAATAATTATTAACGTTAACAACACTTAACAATCTTAGATCTATTCAGCCAATCTTTTCACTCTATAAAACAGCTACTTCAATCGCGCCCCTCTGTAAACAAATTTTTTTTCTTATACTTATACACATCTCGTTTGTTTGTATATTTTTATTTTTATTTTTTTATTTTTATTTTTATTTATTACCATTAATTTTGTACCTATAATTATTATATACCTTATTCCTATAATTATTATATAATACCTATAATAATTTTATACTGTAATAATTTTCTTGTAATTTTTCTAATGGGTTAATCCCTAAATAAATAAATAAATAAATAAATAAAATGGAAACAAGAGAAATTTAAAATTATGGGTTTCTATGCGAATTATCCCTTCCTTCGCGAGGAGAGAAAAATGGGACCGAGGAGCGGCGTTATGGAGGAAGGAGGGGG